TGCTGATTTCTTCTTAACAGCCTTCAATACCTCGCTGGGAATAACCGACCACTCATCACGCCACTCCGTATGACTACTCCATTCTTGCCATATAGATCCCGGATCATGGGTTAGCCCAATCGGGAATAAGGATGTTAATAATCTATTTAATTTCTCCTGTTCCAGCGTCTCAGTTATGCTGGGGGTTGCTCCTCTTAATCGTCGCAATACAATTCTGTATGGTAATCCCCAAGGATCCGATTCTATGACCTCTATCAATTCCTGCCAGGCTTTAGCCTTTGCTTTGCCTATCTCGTACCGCAGATTACGTTGCGCCATCCGATATGTTCTCTCAAACTGAGCGATGTTGTCTGAGGCCTCCCTTCTTCTACGCCGACTTCTCTTCCAAGCTTTAAATGTTCTAATTGCTTCCGCTCTCAATCCTGCTATCGTATCACTCCACCAATATGCTTTATTTTTCCTGGGGGGTTTGCCAGATCTTTTAGCAGCTACATCACATGCATGCGACATCGTATCTCTGATCCATTTTTCAAGACGCTCTGACGATGTTAATATTTCCTCCGCCTCCGCTACATTGTCGTTCCAAGTGGCACAGCTCCACGATAATGAGGTCTGGAATTTCTCCCAATCAACCTTCTTCCAATTCCACCTCGGATACTTTAATTTCACTTTACACTGCTGTTGTACTGATCTGGCTCCAACATTAAAAGAGATATACGCATGATCGAAGAGCGTAAATATCTCACTAAGGACCTGCCACTCGTGCACAAACTCTACTATGCTAGGTGTTGCCCAAGATAGATCAATAATCGAATTGCCCTGTGGTCTAATACAAGTAGGTTCCGCGCCACTGTTCAATAAACGAAGGTCGTTTTCAGCCGACCAATCTTCTACCAGAGAGCCGCGTCTATCCGTTCTATTAGCCTCCCACATCGTTGACTTAAAGTTAAAATCTCCGCAAACAATTAATTTACTATTTATTTGCCTAACCGCTTCTCCTAATTTGTCTAGAAAGGTTAAAAACTCAGCATGATCAGCGTTCCGCGAAATATAGCACGAACATAAATAAAACTCGCCGAATTTAGCTATAACGTAATTATTTCCTCTCAGTACTAAGGAGACAACACTGGAAATTAATGCCGGCCTCCAATATATAACAGCTAGTTTATCTATAGTACAGAACCTACTGCCATTGTCTGGAATATATGCAGGTTCAGATATTGCAGCAATTCCTGCTTCCAGCTCCATCATTTGGTGTAAAAGTAAGTCACACGCTCTCGGACTACGGTTGAGGTTACATTGTATTACTCTAATTATTATCTACATCCATGATATCAGCCCTCCGACCTGATTCCGCATTTATTATAGGAAGCTTCTTATCTGCAGGATTTACTTTGTCTGCTGCACACAAACCAGAACCCATGCGATGATTAGCCTCTTTACCTATCTCCACACACAGTACACATCTCAGAGGTGCCACACAAGCCTTGGCAGGGTGCCCTTCTATTCCGCATCTGTAGTAGGTCTTAGTGTAGTCTGCATTTGACTTGCAGTTATTACGCAAATGACCTTGCTGCCAACATTTGAAGCATCTGGCTGCTCTTGCCTTCAATAGCTCTATTCTGGCGATAGTCCAGCCAATTTTGAGCTTACCTAACTCCGCTACCTTAATTGCAGCTGCCAATGGACACTGCAGCCAAACAGTACATAAACCATTGTTCAGTGTCCTAATCTGACCAACCTTGACCTCTCTCTGAAATTACATGTACCTGCTTCCGCTACGACTTCTGCCACCTCGGCAGCGGAGATAGAGTCGTCAAATCCGGACAGTCTCAAATCTCCCTTCACCACCGGTCTCGTAACAGTTGCCTGTTCTTCGAATACACCAGCGAGCTTTTCTCTAAGTATGTCTGCTTTGCTACCACCTTCAGCGCCGGGTATTTCCACCAGGACACTACCATTAGCCGCATATCTGATTTTCGATTCTTTTATTCCAAGATCAGAGAGATTGACACCATTCCTCGCTTTTCGGATAGCCTCTGCGTACGAGAGCGTCTCCGTATTGACCTTAATCGAAACTGCAGCTGATCTCGGAGGTTGACGTTCTCTTAGAGCTTTCCTGTTATTGTTCAACTTACTTGTACTCCTACCTGCTCCTGCTTTTTGGGTAGGTTGTGAACGTGTCTGTGTTTGCGACTCCAACGCCTGTGATCTACTAGCAGATCCAGATTGATCTCTCCTTTGGGACTTTACTCTAACTCTCCTACGTTTAGAACGCGCTTGCGTCCATGCATCTGATCCCGGTATGTTGGATGGATCTTCTCTTGCAGCCGAAGGCGGGACTAGCTGAACGTTTTCAACAATACGCGGTTTGTTACTCGAACTAATTTGCTTGGAGGAGGTTGCTTCTTGGAGTGCAGTTCTCCTATTCTCTCTTCTCTGTAGCTGCAGTGAACTAATCTGCTTGGATAACTCGTCATCTAATTCCTTCTTCGTAAGAGGCATGCTACTAGAGGGAGTCGGGACAGGGACTGATATTCCTCCCACTGAGGGCCTCATCACTACACCATCCTCCACCAGAGGTCTACTTATACTCCTTCTCTCCACACTCATTCGATCAATCCTGTTCGGTGTTCGATCCCTCGAACCTGAAGGCAGAGGTGATACAGCCTTATCTGCTGTCAACCTGTACATGGTATCTCCTTGCATCTTGATTTGCATCTTCAAGTTCTCAACCACCTTCTGTAAATCACCAAGATCTCTTCTCAATTGTTCAGTTTCTCGCTTTGAGATCTTCAATTCTGCTGCGAGTTCTGCATTCCTACGCCTGAGGTATCCAGGATCGCCGACGTCCTCGATCTTTTCTGTCATAACGCGGACCTCTTTCAAGGTTGTTACTCTCTTCTTCATCTGGCTTTGCAAACCTCCTTGAAGATTTCCACTGCCTATGCGAATAACCTCAATGTCGTCGAGCCACTCTAGTGCAGACGCACCCAATTGGCTAGCCGGTGTGATGGCAAGCTCTTCTAGGTTGGTGGGAATCTCGCGTAGCTGCGACTCTATAGTGGGTCCCGCTCGCTTGCCCTTCTTGGTTTTCTTCTTATGCGACCTGGCTTCTCTTCTACCTTCATCTGTCTCTGAGGCCGTCAGCAAGCCAGATAGATCATCCGAATCTTTAGGAAGCGGCGTAGCACTTGCTCCCGTTGGATGAGCTGTCTTCCCGGACTCGTGTTGGCCTGTAATGTTCTGATCTATTACGCCTCGAGTGTTCTGTCGTGTTTTATCCACTACTCGAACTTTATGGGATCGAAGCCTATCCATTACTTGGCCTTCTCCTTCACTCAGATCTACATCCAACTTCCTTTTGCCACGAGGAGCTATCATGCTCGAACAGGACGTGGAAGCGACCGAACAGGCATCGTCTTGTATCTCACAACTAATCTGAGACTGCTGATCACCCTGAGTCTCTTGCGACAGCATCTCCACTTCGACCAACTGTGCGGGGTCTTCAATTACCTCTTCAGACCACGGCTCCGTCTGAGCCCTATCAAACGGGACAACTCTAACTTCTAGAGTTGGTAGTGTAACGCCTCCTGTTTCTATGTCAGGGGTCCTTACATCATCCGTCATCACGCCGGATGTAAAATATGGCGTTTTCTCATCTACACCTGCACTAGATGTTAAACTTTGTGGAGGATCATCCACCCCTGCGCTAGATGTAAAATATAGCGCAGTATCATCCACCCCTGTGCTGGATGTCAAACATAGCGCAGTATCATCCACCACTGCCCTGGATGTTAAATATGGCGCAGTGCTATCGTTACTACTGCCTCCTACTTCTGTCCTTCCTCCCGGATTCCTACTTTCTCCCGTCCTTTCGTCCTGTTTCCTCACGTCCTTCTCTCTCCCCTCCAACAATCTCTTCCCCAACAACCTCTTCACTCTCCTCCACCTTTGGCTTATCAAGCAATTTATTTGGTTTATTTGTTTGGTTTGGTTCATTTACTTGCATGTTGTTCCCACGAAAAGTGTCGGAAAAATAGGTCCGTCTACGCAGAGCCGCATGCGTAGATAAGGCCCTCCCGGATAATACTCCGGGGTTCAGGCCGAGTCCCCGGAGGCACCGTTCGCGACTGAGCTATTTAACCTCGCCTCAGCCATGCAACCCTCACCACGGTTGCACACAGCTTGATTTGCGAGGAGTGCATTTGATTCAAGGGACACTACCCTCTAGGCATACTTTATGGTTCCTACTTCCCAGGCCCAACGCCGGTATGATCCTCCGGCGTTGCCCTGGGAGATCATCGGAAGCCGTGCCCGTATGCCAGGGGGCTCACCCTACCCACACAGAAAATAAATAAAACCCACCCAACCCTTAACCCCATACCCCATAAAACCTCCCCGAAATAGGGTTTTTTAACGAGGTTATCTCCTCGGCCGATGCGACAGCGCAAACACTGCCGCTAACGGTGTCGACACATCGGGTTTGGTTCGGAGTTTTCCTTCTCCTAGGCTGGCTCTTAGCACCCTTCCACCTTCTACATACTGTAGAAGGCTTCAGGGCGAGCCCTCTCACCACGACAAGGTGGCCAGCCATCGAGAGGGCCGACGGCAGACCTGACGGGTTGTCGTCCAAGGGCATACCTTGTTCGTTGGAGGTAAAACGAACTGGCGACCGTTTAAATAAGGTAGGAAAACCTGCATTCATTGTGAATTTCTCCATCTCGTGTATTTAGTCCGGTCACAACCTAACCCTAAAATCTGACATTGCCTTGCCTTGTTAAAAAAAAAATTATATAATTATAGCCTAAATTTATTTTTGGTATTCGTGTTTCACAAATTTCAAGCTATTCAACACATTGAATCACGTGTAATATTATAATAACATGTTGCAATGCGAGATATATATTCATAAGTTTTATGAACATTATCAGAGAGAAATCACTGACATTATTATATTTTTGATTATATAGTTGTGAAGTAAAACTTGTAAATTCCAACTATATAATCAAAAATATAATAATGTCAGTGATTTCTCTCTGGTAATGTTCATCAAACTTATGAATATATATCTCGCATTGCAACATGCTATTATAATATTACACGTATGCAAAAAAAGCCAAAGTATTCATATATAGTATTTATTTTTTATTCTCAAAGTGGATCTTACTGCAACAAAATTTTGATCGTTTTCATTTATTATTCTGTTCATCAGTATACATACATAGTATGTATACTTTGGCTTTCTTTATACGTATTACTATATTACATTATAACTTTTGTCTGAAACATTTTTTGATATCTCACTTCGTTTCCAAAAATTATGCCCGCGTCACTATAAATGCTGCACCCTGTATATGCGAAGAAAGCCAAAGTATACATACGTGTTATTTATTATTCTCAAAGTGAATCTTATTGCAACAAAATATTAATCGCTTTAATTTATTAATCCTAAAACTTTATTATTGTGATTTACTTATTATTATTAAGAAATTTATTATTATTAGATATTCTACATGAATAAAAAATTATATTATATTATTAAATATTATATGCTAAAAACGCATATATATTTTTTGCAGAAAAAATATAGATTTTTACAAAAAGCGATGAGATCATCTAAAAAAACCTCACAAAGGTAAAAAAAAATACGCCAAGTATATAAAAAAATCCCAACTTGTACGCAAAAAATGTTTATTATTTATCCCTATAAAATAACTTTTAAAAACATTTTTCGTTGAAGGTTAGAAGGAAGAAAAAAAGAGAGAAGATGGATAGAAGGAGAAAGGCTGAGAGGAAGAGGAAAGACGAGAGGTCGATAAGAAAGAGGAAAGTTAGATAAGATAGGGCGGAAAGAAACGAGGAAAATTGAATAAGAAAATCCGAAAGGTGGCGCCAAATGTAGGTAAATAACTAGGATCGAGCTCATAGGGAGTTAGTGGATATCGATACGGAAACGGGCAGTAGGAATAGAATATAGCAGGTGAAAAGAAGGAAGAATAAAGGTATCATAGAAGCAAAAGAGGTGAAAAGGGACTGGCAGAAGGCGGAAGGACAACAGTGGAAAGGAAAAGAAGAGAAGGGGAGAGAAACAAGGAAAAGGGTAGAAGGAAGTAAATGGTGGAAGAGGAAAGTGAGGTTAAATGATAAGAAAACAAGTGAGAAGAACGGAAGAAGACAGGAAGGAAAGAGAAGGAAAGAGATAAAGGTAGAAGGGAGAGTGAGAGGGAAGAAAGAAAGGGAGAGAA